AAAAAAAAAGGAGAAAAAATTTGGAATGTGCCAAGATCTTTTGTGTTCCTCGCTCCTGATCCTCCTGCTAAAGGAATCAGCAGGCAGGCTTTCTGTGTGTGTGTGGAGGAGGGTGATGGATAGCGCTGCTAATGTTTGCGTGTAGCATGGCCCGACCCTCCGTACTTTTCCCCACAGTTCCTGCGAATCTTCCCACAGTGACCACGGTCAATGCCTTTGCTCTGTGGGCATGTGATTACATCCCACGGAGCTCGCAGTTTCAAGTCTCAACCTCTTGTTTCAACAACACCCACCTTCTGTCAGCTAACATTACTACCTTATATTCATTGTTTGTCTTTACATTTATCCCTGCTAGCACAACAGTTTCCTTTCTGTCTCATTTTTTCAGTTCACACCTCCTCCTGCCTACATTATCCCTTATAGCGGGCTGCCGTTTTGTCTGTCAGACCTGAGTCACGTATTTCAGGGTTTCAGTGTCTCTGCCAGATTAGGTCTTTTTTTGACGCCTCAGCTTTTATTTTTGGTCACCACATGATGAAGAACCCGTTCATCTGTACATCTGTAGCTGTGTAGTCAGGGAAGACATTTTTTATGTGAACTTGGGGTATCACATGTACAGTAATTTGCATAATATATGCATGCAACAATCTATTAGTTACATTTTTTACAAAATCATTAGAAATGCGATTAATTAGCCAAGTTTAAATGTATAAATGTTATTCATTAATGATTAATAATAATAATAATAATAATAATAATTATTATTATTATTATTATTATTCATGACTTGAAATCCCTAAAAGGTGTATTTTTTAAAAATAATGCTTCAGTGCTAATGATAAAAATGCTTCGGTTTATTAAATAATTATTTAATAGTTTATTAAAATGTATTATTGCATTTTTCTTGGTTATACCACATTACATTTTATTGTCATTAAATTTAAATTGTTCGTAAAAATGGTATTAAAGTAAAAAAAAAAACATATGAAACCAACATAATTTTTTTTCTTTCTTTATTATGGACACAACTTTTCATTGACCCAGAATCAAGAAATGCATGAAATGAATGTCATCCTAATTTCATCTGTCATCTTTTTGAATTTTGTATTATTTTGTTAGATTCAAAATGTCACACACATGTGAAGTATGTAATTTTTTCTGTGTCAAAACACTTTCTTATATTTCAGTTTAATATAATAAGTAAACCATTTTGGGTGGGACTACAGTATCTGAAATCATTTTTGGATTCATTATTTTTGCAGTTATGTTTAAAATTACAGAAGTTACACACTTCACCTTCACAAAATTAGTGAAACTTTAAATTTGACATATGATATTTCTTTTACCCCAGGTAATGTGGGTATGTAACAAGTGCCGAAGGCAACAGGATATGCTCACTAAATCAGGAGAGTGGTTTCCAAGCCATGGGCCCAAGGCTGGAGAGCTTGGGTCAGCAGTGAGTGAACCGGCCATGTGTGGAGATCCCGTTGGGGAGAAGAAGGTGCGCTCTAGGTCTCAGAACCCTCTCGACTCCTCCGTTTCCACTGCCCATGATACCCAGCCACATGCCCCGACCGACCCCAGAAAAGGCCCTTCCACAGGGTCAGCCGACACGCTGTCATTGCGGTCACGCAGTGAGCCTCCACAAGAAAGGTACACTTCAGCCTCTCACTCTCTCGATACAAAATCTAGAAAAGTAACTGTTTCCCAGAATATTTTTTAAAGGTTATAATGAACAAAAAATGATTAAAGTCAGAATTGACAATTCTTACTTGTTTATGGACTATTGCGGTGTTTATTATAAATTATTCATCTGTGCACAATTTTTTTAGTTCAGTTGCCCTTGTAATCTTTAATTAAAAACATTGACTTCCCTCCCCCTCGCAACAGTATCTCTTCTCTGATGACGTGTGCAACAGTGCGAGAACAGTACAATGATCCCTCCAGCAACCTGTCACTCAAATGAGATCTCAGCAATTGGCAAACAACAACAATCCAACGATCCAATCAATACCTGATGGACAAAATCAAGTCCCACCCTACGTTTTTTCTTGCTTGAGTAGCCATTTCACTCTGATAAAATAGGGAAGATAATCACAACTTTCATTTCAATGTCGACTTTAATAATTATAAATGGTTTATTTTTTTGCAGTTAAGATGTATTGTTGTAATCACATTTAAATAAATTACCTGATAGCTTTGGATGACACATTTTATTTGTATATATGGTACACTCTTAAAAATAAAGGTTCCAAACTGCGGTTTTCTCAGTGATGAGAATTTTTTTTGATTCCCCAAAGAACCTTTCAGTGACCAGTTCTTAAAAGAACCATTATTTTCCTTAGTGTGAAGAACATTTAAATAATCTAAAGATCCTTTTTCCATTAAAAAGAACCTTGTGAGGTTCCATGGATGCCAATAAAGAACCATTGTTTTTAAGAGTGTATTTACTCTTAGAATATCTTAGATATTCACTACTAGATTTCATCATAGTTTGGGCACTCTTTAGCTGGCCAACTAAACCAGCTAAACACCAGTTTAGCCAGCTAGACCCGGCTAGATGAAGTTTGGCCAGGCTTGAGAACCACATTAAACCAGCTCAGACCTGCAGACCAGTTTAGGCGAGTATTTTCATGACAAACAAGAAGCATCATGACATTGTGTTGCTCATTTGGTATGCATTGCGTTGTCTCATTAAAACAGCATCCAGTTCTTTTCAATTTGGAAAGACTGTCTGTAAGAATGTCTCTTTGTGATACTGTGCAATTATTTGACCTCTAGAAAAAAGCCACCAGCAGCCTCTGATCAGAATGGCAAGCTAGGGCCAAGAGGTGAGAGGCGGCGAGGCCTGTCCAAAATCCACTCTGAGGAGCGAGATACTGGAGAAAATCGGAGAGAAAGTCGAAGACTGATGAAGACTCGCTCTCAGGAGCACGACAGTCCTGAGACCAGGAGGATTGAAGCAGAGCAGAAACCACCCAGGGAACAGTGCAGGTTTGATGCTTCACATCATCCGGCCAAACTCCGGCCGGCGGAGCCTGATGGACGTATGCATCCTAAGCCGAGGGAGGCAGGGGAGATGGTGCAGGACAACAGAGGTGCACGTAGATGGGCAGATGGGCAGCAGGCCTCGCTGGAGGGCAAGCAGCAGGCCTACGCCCCAGAGAGAACCGCGGGGGGTACAGGTTTGCAGGGTGCGCCTGTTGTGCAGGGTCCTCCTCCTAAAACGAACCACACCCCACAGCCGCCCGCTCCAGGGTTCAGGGTGGGCCCTGCCATGCCCGCAGGCCCACCTGAGCTCAGGGAGCCTCAGGAATGGGACAGGAAGTTGCAGCCAAGCCACCTGGACCCCGGCTCGGCTGCGCTGTTGCGCAAATCGAAACGACAAAAAGCTGAGAGCATGCTGCGCAATGATTCGCTCAGCTCTGACCAATCGGAATCTCTACGACCGCCCCCACCCCGCCCCTACAAGAGCAAACGGGGAGGAAACAAGAGGCAGATGTCTGTTAGCAGCTCGGAGGAAGAGGCCGGTTCGACACCGGAATACACCAGTTGTGAAGATGTGGAGATTGAGAGCGTCAGTGAGAGAGGTGAGTCAGATGGATATCTGCTTTTGTGTAATTTATATATTTAATCATGTGTTTGCATAAACACAAACCTCCATGATTCAGAAAAGGAAATCACCATCAATATGAATGTAATATTAGTTTGATTGATGAATTTAGTACTTTTTGCAACGGGTTTGCAATGGATTAGCGATGACTATCAAGAGGTTGCTTCATTCATTTACTTTGTGTGCGAATGGCAGGGTTTTCAACAATGACTGTCCATAAAGGTCCTGCAGGTTTTATACTTTTTTAATTAATTCATTACATTCTGTCTTCCTTTCTTTCTTTCTTATATGCCACGAGGCTATCGTTGCCGACAAGTTTTATACTTTATAAAACATACTGATTTCTTAAAAAAAAAAGAAATAATTTGACATGTTATATATACACTACTGTTTAAAAGTTTAGGATTAGAAATCATTCTAAAATGCTGATTTGGTGCTCTAGGAACATTTCTTATCATTATCAATGTTTAAAATAGTTGTACGGAAATTGTTTTGCAGATTTTTTTTTCAGGATTCTATGGTAAATAGAAAGTTTAAAAGAATAGCACTGATTTAAAATAGAAATATTTTATAAATGTATTTACTGTCACTTGATCTGATAAATTTAATGCATCCTTTCTGAATAAACAGTAGTTAATTAAAAAAATAAAATAAGGATAGATAGATAGATAGATAGATAGATAGATAGATGTTCATATTCGCGCGATTTTTTGCGCAGCTCATCAGTGAACAACGGCTCTGTGTAGTTAATGCTGCTCAATGTGAAAGCACGCAGGTGATGGAGATTTACCGCTGATTACAGAACCGTCTTTACTGACAAGATGCGTTAAATATCGCATGCGATTAATCGTGCAGCCCTAATATTAATCTATATAAACGTGTGTATGTTTGTGTGTTTCTAAGGTGTTTTTAGTGATTTTGAGTCAGAAGAACTCATCCCCAAATCTATATTTAAGTCTTCAAAGCAAATTTGTGGGATTTTTTTGTCAGTTTCATCATTCACAAGGTTTTTAAAAAAAAAGTATCATATCAATAAAAGCGATGCTTCTCTAGCAAATACCACTTATTATTTATTGAACATTTGTCCATATAAAAGCTACTGGCCAACCGAAAGTACATCACACTTTTATTTTGAACCTTTTAAAAGCTGACTGAAAGTAATTCAAATCTGATGTCTATAGCAACATTTAATTTTTACAATCTATTTTTGTTTTTCGGATGACAATTTGAGCACTTTTCACCATCTCGCGTCATGCTCAAGACACCCCAGGTGCTCAAACATGCCCAGAAACGCGTATGTACAAGGCACTCATCCATATAACATGCCAACAGTAAACAGAATGCCAACGTCACGGAAAGCGTTTTTGCTGTCAGCATTTGATTCCACTGTCTGGGGACTAAATGTAGCTCTTAAACATATATTTACAAACACTCTTGCTCCCTCTTGCACTGCAAGTGGGTCAAAGCAGAACATATTTTAGCGTGAGATCTTGGCTGCAGGTGCCATTTTGGGGCTCAGATATTCATTAAGCGTAAACAAAGTGGGTTTAGAGATGGACTCTGGCTAGTGTAAGGCGGCAGCTCACATAGTCAGCATATGTACTGTACAGTGTATCTCTATGAACTTTTGTGTGTTTGTTTTAGGGGACTGGGAGTGCTGTCCACTGGACCCCACTGCGTGGCATGTAAGTCATTCCTACATTGTGTTTTAATCATTTAAAGTCATCATTCATTGATTGTTCAATGACCATTTTACTTCCACAATGTGATATTTTTTTAGAAGAAAATGTAGCACAGGACTTGTAAATTGACTGATCTGTAAACTGTAAATTAACTGGATGTGTTTGTTACATATAGTATGCCACTGTAGCTCACATTGCCAGGGTCATGGGTTCGATTCCCAAGAAATGCATGAAGTTGTAAAATGCATAGCTTGAATGAAAATGTATACATTTTAATGTGACATACACCAGATTTGAGCAATACCAAATGCAAATTTGCTAAAACAATTACTAAATAGCTATTTGCACATTGGTTAACATTAGGCATGGTGTGGTCTTAAGTGGAAAATTAACTTTTTGAATAAACCTTTGGAATAAGTATTAGAATGACGCATATTTTCTTTGCAATAGCAATTTTTTTTTTTTGTTTGTAAGACGAACAGGAGGGTGAACTAAGAAAGTCGATAGTAAATTTTGTTTTTTTTAAACTTAACTTTAAAGTGACTGAGAACACTGGTGAGTTGCGTGCAGTATTACTTAGTATAATTGAGATAATATAGTTTTTTTTATATATATATTTTGAATGAGTTTTTATATATTCCTTTTAGTTATTAAAGTTAGTAAAGTTATTAAAGTTTTAGTAATTTTTTGTGTTCTTGTGTTGTGCTTTTTTATGTCTATATAATCTTTTTTCCATTTTTATTTCAGTTTTAGTATGTTATTTAAGTACATGAAGTGAAACTAAATGAAAATGTTTCTGTTTCTGTTAGCTATAATAACCCTGGTTGTGTCTGTGTGATAGATAGATAGATAGATAGATAGATAGATAGATAGATAGATAGATAGATAGATAGATAGATAGATAGATAGATAGATAGATAGATAGATAGATATTTGTGTGTAATAGGCTGAAAACCTAATCTACATACTAATGAATTACTTATCCAAGTCTTAATAACAGTATTTTACAGTGTATCTACAGTGGATATTTATAAAGGAGATGGTATGCGCAGAATAATTGTTCACTGGTTTTGACTGGTTGAAGGTTGGGGTGTGAAGGAGAGGAGGTTATTCACATTGCACTGTGTGCTGTTATCCTGGCAAACTGTCTGAACACAGACTTAAAAGGTCAGTGTATTAACACAAGCCAGGGGTGAAATGTAAACATTGTGAGTTGAATAGGAAAGACAGGCTATAGGAGAAGGAATGAGAGACTAAAAATAGGAGAACAGGACATTGAGAGGAGGTTAAGCAGAAAACAAGCTTGCTCTTATCAGTGCAACAACATTTCATCAGGTTCAACAGAAACAACAGGTAAGAGAATTTACTCTTTCTTCTAAAGAAAAGGAACTGAATAATTCAAGTTGACACCTCATACTTTTGTTATTTAACAAAAGTATTCTGTTATAATTTTCTTTATTACAAGAAATTTGAACTTTAAACTCAAAGTGTTGTTTTTCAGTTGTACAGAACTGGGTACAAAATCTTGAGCAGAGATTGATATTTATTAGATTTGATTTCTTTGTTGTTGCCTTGGAAAGTTAGAATTATTAGAAGTAGATTAATACAAATGTGTAACAATACATACTGTATGTTGCAATGTGAAACTATGTACTAATGAAATATTTATTTGCTAAGCACTATATTTTGGAGGTCATGTGAATGAGAAGTACAAGGCTTAGATAAAAGCCCACACAGGGGACCAATCCACCATGCAACAAGCAATATATTAAACATTTATACCCTTAGACAGCTAATACTTCATGCAGACCTCTTCTTCTTAATATTACTTCATGGCATTTTATTATGACTTATACATGTTTCTTTTGTGAGTTGCTCAGTGTTTTGTGCTGAAAATGTTTTTCTGGAGTGTTTTTTTTTTTTTAGCTGTTAAAACTTTCAGGAGTGATAGTTGAATTTTGTTGCTTTCCAGAGTTTAAAATTTAGTTAGAGTAACTTTTTATAGGACAACCCTGCTCAGAACTGGGTTAGACAGTGAAGAAGCAGCCTTCCTTAAAGTAACCTATGAAGATTCCCTGAGTGGCATGCTTGTAAGTAAGCTATCCAGGTCTCAAGGTCTCTTTTTCCCCTTATTTTGAACCCCTGAACCTTTTTTTTTTAATCAGATGCCTCACTAGCTGAAGCTACTTTATAAAATCAATACTTTTGACTCTAAAAAATTGGATTGGATGAGTCATGTTGTAAAATAACCAGTATTTGGCAGCCCTCCAAGGAAGGTGATCATTTAATTGGCCGAATCACTTTGAGCAAGAGAACAGCCATGCCAAAAGAGGCTGGGGCTCTGCTAGGGCTAAAGGTGAGGGGAGAGCAACTCGCATAAACATACTGTATAAACACAAGTTCCTCTCCTGACTGTTATGAAGACAACAAGTACACCATGTGTCATGGACCATGTACAAAAAATGAAAACAAACACACACACACACACACACAC